ACTTTCAGTCATTTTGGCACAAGCCTTGACGCCCATGTTTGAGAAATTGCAATGGTAAGGAAAGAGTCCTTGGGTTCACTAGGAGACAGGAATTGGGGAGCTGAGGTGAGGGCTCTGAGGCTGCTGGGGGTAAAGGAGCCAGAAGGATGTTGGGGACTTGCCTTTGGCTTGCCTCATTGGCTGGGCAAAGGCAGTGCCCAGCCTTGCTCCTGATCTCCACAACCCTGTCTTCCTCCCTCCTTTCTCTCTTTCTGTCACTGCTCACCACGACTAAAAATAGTAGCTACAGGCAGCCAGATCGCATGGGGCTAAGGGCAGGTCGGGAAGGAGAAAATATTGGAAACAGGGTCTGAGCATTGAGTCATCCCAGAGGGGAAGGGGAAGATCTGCAGTCCTGTTTGAGAATGGCTGCAGATCCCCTGGGACTTGTTTTCCAATTAGTAACAAAGTCCATTAACAAACTCTATTTAGAGGGTTTTTTTCACTTAAGTGAAACTTTCCTACATTAATAGCTATCAGTTCTGTCTTGGAGAGTGAATCTGTCAAATTCCATGGATTATACTGTACTCCTGCAAAAAAAAAAAAAAAAAAAGGGAAACATGGCAATATAGTGATTCATGATCAGAAAAAAAAAAGGAGCTTGCCTTAAGCATATCATATGCCTATTTTTTCCAGTCAAAACACCTTGTTGTGGTTTTTTAGTAGTTTTAGTAGTAGTAGTTGTTTTTTGGACTTCAGTTTGCTCTACCAGCAGAAGGAAATTAATCTAGAGAAGCATCAATAGAAAGTTCTTAAAAGGCACTGAGAAGGTAGATGGTAACTTTTCATCAAAGGAACAAAGTAACTACAATTAATAGAAGGAATATTTAAAACTATGGAGAATAAATCTCTATTACCCTGAAAAACAACTCAGAGTCAACAGTAGAGAATGTCACTGAGAAGACAAACTGGATGCTTACATAGATAAAGGGCATGTTTGGCTTGTTATAATTCATGAAGATTGCCTAAAATTGATTTAACCTCATGTTTCAAAAACTAGATAAATCTCGATTTAGGCAGGGCAGATGACCTCACAGCTGCCTTCTGTGTCATTTCCTGTACTTCAGCTGAGGCTTTGAGGGTCAGGTTCTTGTGTGGGCATGATTGTGGACCAGGAGGAACATGGGCTGTGACCTAACTGGTGCTAATTGGCACCTCATTTTTCAGTAGTGCTGTCAGATCTGGCCCATGAAACAGTGCAGTATGGAGGATTCCCAAGGGTTGTTAATGGCCTTTGCAATAGGCCCAAGCCTTAGAGACTGAACCTGGCTCAGTCATATCTTCCCATAAAAAATCCAGCTTTGCAGACATGACCATTCAGCTTTCTAAGGCAGCATTCCCAAGCATATTCTCCCATCCCTTACACACAAGCACACACACTTCAATGATAGCTATTTTGCTTGTGCAAGGACAGTGAAACACGTATTAAACATTTACTTCTGCAATTTCTTCCTCAGAAATATCCTCTGGGATGTTCTGAAAGAGCTTAAGACATACGAAATAGTCTACACTGCAACATTTAATCCAAACTACATTTATCTACTGCTTACGTAAGAAAACGTCATGATAAAGGTGATGCAGGATGATGTTAATGAACCTTGTCCTACCTCCATTGGGGGGAAGGCATGAAGAACTAGAACTTAGGCAGACAGCAGTTTGAACAGGCTCAGCACCTTTGATGTTGAAAACAAGAGATTGCTTCCTACAGTCACCATCTGCCCAAGCTCTGAGACACCAAATCAGTTACCAGGAATTGTATTAACACATCGAAGAAGCTGTTTATGATCTTTGCAATAGTCTTAAGAAATATCCTTTGTACAATTGAGTTCAATGATGTCTGAACCCTGGCTGTAGCTAAGTGCTCTTAGGATGTAGACATTGACAGCAATCTGCTGCAGGACAGAAGGACCAGCTCAAGCATTTGTACAATCTTCAGTCTGGAAGGCAGGACAATAAGGTCCTCCCCACATTCTCACTCACCCTCATTTTCATCAAATTTGGGCTGTTATTGTAATTAGAAACTGAAGGTTTTGGGTATGTCTTTCAGTGGCCAGCTGAATCAACTGGTAATTTGATGCTTATCAGGGGTATTATGGTCTATTGCCTGTTGGTCTTTTCCTTTCATTCGCTTACTTGACAGGAAGAATGATGGTCTCAAGTACTGCATCACTATTACCTTGAAGCACACATCCCCAGGTTTTCGTTTCTGCACACAGGAGTTTTGACAGATGTAGCACGAAGGGTGGCACTAGAGGGAGCTCCTGCAGCATCACCCACCTCAGAGCCCCCAATCCGAAATCAGGCCCAGAGCACAAGATTTGCTTCTAAAATTGTAAGGTTTGGATTGTGGGTTGGTTTACTACTTATTAACTTCTATGCATATTTGAATAACATTTTCAAATTTTCTTTTGCTGCTATGGACTCTAGAATTGCCAGTGTCGGACCTGCTCCTGCCAACAGCTCCTATTACTGTCTGGTTCTAGGAACTGAGACAGTCCATTACCTAAATGTTTATAGAAAAATAAAAAACAACCCAAACGCCATGGATATCTTAGTTCTAGAAAAACTGCTTCAAAAGCTTAATTGAATTTTAAAAAAAAAACAACTTCCAAATACTAAACTTTTGCTCTTATTGAGATTCAACCATCCTTTTAATCAGAAAACCTATAGCTAAGCCTCTGGAATTAAAGTTAATATTTAGCCTTTAAATAAGAGATCCTTTAGGAATAATGTGCTTATTGGGAAAAATTGCTTATTGTTTGAAAAAAAGACATTTACAAGATTGTAGCTTTTGTTTTATATTGCATGCTCTGTGCTGCCAATGGCTATGACTAAAGTAAAAGTGGCAGAAGCAACTTTTTTATTTTTAGAGACAGACATCCACAGTGATGATTTATAAAACCTCTCTAGTGAAGACAAAGATAACCTTTCCATATACTTGAGAAAGAATTTGTTTTCAAAAGGCAAAAGTTAGTAATTTCTAAATAAAAAGTCAGGCTTCTGTAGAAACACCACAGTCATTCTTTTTTGGAAGCAAATACACCTCAAATATCATCTACAGAGGATGTAACAACTGAATCAAGCCATGTATTACTCTGTGACGATCACAACTGCTCGGGATCTCTGCCTGTGGAAGAGATCCACCATTGCAAAAGATGCCATATAGAACAGAAACCCAGCTTTATTCCTCTTACTGCTAACAGCTAAAGTAGAGCAGACAACCCTTCTTTATATACACTAAGTACACTATATATTTACTGTATAGTTCTTTAAAATCTAGGGAGAGGAGTACTGTTCTATTACAAAAATTCAAGGCTAATTTATATGCGATAGTGAAAATATTGCTCAGTGCAGTGCTATGAGCAGCAAGGTTTGAGTAGTTCTAGACCACTCCCCAAACTAGTAGTTCTAGACCACTCTAGTTCCCTGCTCCCCAAACAGGTACACCACAAAAATTATAAAATATTCTTTGATTTCTTGCTGGTCTAAGAATGCTTTCCCAAAATGATATGTCATAAGGAAAAACTAATGTTTTGCTCCCTTCTCCAACATGAAAGCCACTTAGTCCCTTCTCCTTGTGTCACCAGAAAAGACAAATACCCATATCAGCCATTACTTACTTCCACTCCATACCTTAAAAAACAACCAACCAACCAACCTTGATTTCTTTCACTCTCTCTTGTTCACAGTGGATGTGTTCTCAAACACTTACCAGATTTCCATCCTCTGTTGCACCGACCTCCTCTGGGTGTGAAGTTTCCCATTTTCCACAACACTGCAGTGTTCTGAAACCTCCACTCCTCTCAGCACCCGCTGCCTCTAAAATCTTCTCTCCTACATGGTTATTTTCTCCTTTCCTAAATTCACTTCACTGGATCACTTGCAAAGCTTCTATACTTTGCTCTTCCTCAGTAATTTCCTGTCACCTTCTTATTAAAGAAAAAAAACAAAAAACAAACAAACAACAAACCAACCACCCTGTCTTCTCCTCACACTTCTTCTCTCCCCTCATGTTATTCTTGCATTGCCCAAGTGTCTTTAGTGCTACTGCTGGCTGAGTTCTGAGTTCCATATTATTCCCATTTCTCTTCCCTCACAAATCTCTCTTCATTCTCCTCAAACAGTTTTAGTCTTCCCATCTCCCTCTGTTTCTGTGATTTATATCCCTTCCCCAAGTCCTTTCAACCTGCCTGCATTGTGAATCGGGATATCAGAATGTTGTGATAATGTTATTTAGACTTTGGTGTGGGGAATTCTTTTTGTTGATGTAAGCAAAGTCTGTGAAGATTGATAATGAATGTATATTTTAATGATTACATGTTAATGAAGCCTCCGGTACCCTCATCCGATTGAGAATTCTTCCTGGCATCCTGTAATTCCCAATGGAGCCTCTCAGCATCTGCCATCCTTGGCAAGAACAGCCATTGAGTGAAGCTGCTCTTTTGCCTGCTCTGTTTTCCTTCCTTCACTTCCTCTTCCCCCTTGCCACCCAAAAATGTATGGAGGAACAGCATAGTTTGCAACACAGACTGAACTGCCCTCCTTCCCAAATAACTACCTCCTGGGAATTTTCAGATTCATGTTTCTTTGCACATTTTCTCTATTCTAAATCCAATGGAAATTCAGATATATCCGCTGTTGTTGCAAACAACACGTACTCACGGATCTACTAGCAAAACATAACTGTTTCACCAGCACTACAGGGTCAGGCACAGAGAATGTGAAGTGGCACTATAGTAAGAGCGATGGAGAGAATTTTGTGTATGTATGTGTGGGTTCTGACCATGGAAATGCAAGAACTGAGAGGCACGGGGCCTCAAAGTCACAGAGAATCCCACTGTAAAAAATAATAGTATTTGTCACTTCACAAACATTGTAAGAAAGGCGGCAAATGAAGGCAATAATGAGGTTATAGTTACAAGGTGAAAAATCAGTGGCTGCACAAAGAAAGAACACAAAACTACTTAAAACAACCAAATCTTTTAATTAGAAAGCAACAAACATGCAAACAGCAGGTATAGAAATTTATTTGAACCAACGTTTTTGCTATAATGAAAGTTATTTTAAAACATTGATCCAAGCTCCCACATTTGCAGGTTAAGGAAAATATTGCACTTTGCATCTTCTAGCACCCCTCATACATGGCAAAACATTTTAAAAACATTTTTGCTTATTTAACTTGCACACTCTCCCAAAGTCATGCACACAGTCATTCAAAAACAAAAGGTTAGGTTATCCAAAAGCAATACCTTAGAATTGCACTAAAGCTCTGTAAGGAAAAATATAATTAATGTCTTATACAAATTCCATTAACATCTAGGTGCTTCCACATGAGTGCCAGTTACTCTTCATCTTCGTTTTCATTTTCCTGTCCAGATCCTTCTGATCTGTCACCTTCCAATCGGTCTGTAAGACACAAAGATTTAGTAAAGAGAACTTCTAAAGTTTTCAGGCTTTGGTAAATATTTACAGTGCACTATCTCCCTGGGTTATTACACAACACACAGTGGCTGTGGGTTATACGGTAAAAGAAAGTCTGTACGGATTGACAGCAGAGATTGGGTAGAAATGTTACCACAACAAAGAACAGGAGAAAAGCCCTAAAGTATTTCCAGGCATAAAAGCAAAATTTGTGTACAAAAGGAGAAACGTTGTAGCTGCTGACTGGCTGTCAAGCACAGGAAAGATGAATGCAAGCACAATATTAAAAAGAGATGGTGAATACAAAGGATTGAAACACTGTTCTGCAGAGCTAAAACTAGAATAGCTGCAGCTAGAAATTTGTATACTCCAGAAAACTGGGGAATCACTATCTGTATACATCAGAAAAAGTATCTTTTGCTGTAAATGTCTAGAGAAAGGCAGATACAGGAAACGTGTGAGGGAACATGATTGGCTCAAGATCTATCACTCAAACAACATGCACTGTCAAGTTAAAAAATACTCCACCCAGCCATAACACAGATTTTTTTCTGAAACTGTTGTAACTCAAGTGTTGGCCAGTCATTTTTGTATTCTACTCCAATGAAATCACAACAAATGAAGAAAAAAAATTGAACTAATATATTCAGCAGTGGGGAGGCAGACCACTGGGCTGGATAAAGTGGCATCCTCCTGGCTCCCCAGTTCTCACAGATCAGCACAAGGTAGAAGAGGAGCAGCAGCTGCTGCCAGGCAGAACTTTCTTCCTACCTCATCACTATAAGCCCACTGCTCTGCTCAGCCAGTGCCAGAGTCCCCCAGATATCTACAGTCACTTTCATCTGCAGTTCTGTTAGGTTTGCGCCCCATACGTCATACAAGCCTCCCAAAACTTCATTGCCTTGCTTCCTACCCAGTATGATGTCTCTCCATTGACCTACATCTTCAATATCAACCCGCTGCAGTCAGCTTCCTCAGCACCAACATCCAGGAACACCCAACTGCCAACAACGATTCTCCATGCAACCCCATGTATCACCACCTTCAGCCCCTAGGGAACTGCTCCTTTGCTGAGGGGACATCCTAGTACCTGCTGCCTCAGGAAGAGCTACCAGTAGCCTCATTAATATCTCCTACAGTCCAGTACCTTCACACTCTCCTTTGCTCCTAGACAATTCCAAGCCCACAATGGCAGTCAGTTTATCTTATGACTCATTCCAGTCATCTGCAGTAGCTTTCCCATTACACAGCACTCACCTTAAAGATCGTTCCTTCGTAAAGAAAGTATTTTTCAACATCTAATTAGTACTCCATTACAAATAAGCTATTTCAGGATTGATAGTATGGTAACATCTAAAATACATTTTGCTATGTTCTTCCTCTTTGTTTTGAGGCAAAAAACAACAACAGCAAAAACGTTGTAAGTCTCACACTAAAGCAGCAATTCCTAAGTACTTCTGTTAAGTGGACCTTGAACAACACTTGAATCTTCTCACCAACCCCAAGTGCAGCCACACTCAGTTGAACATCTTGATGGTTGCCCAATCCATCTGCTATTTCATAGACCAATGTGGTAGACAAGCTCTTCAGAAGTCTCTCACCTGCTCTTATATGATTCAACGAAGCCAACATTCGTAACATGAAAGAAGCTGGAACAGTAATAGTGTTTCTGGTCTCTTCCAGCATTAATTCATTACGTGTTATAACCTGGAGGCAGGGAAGGGGAAAAAACAGTATGAAAAATAAACACAAAATTGTACTGCATCAGTGTGGGTTTGTAGATACAAAGTTCCAATGCAAAAGGCATTTACAGAGTCCAAAATTACAGTAAGGGAGCAATATTTTAATAATTACTATCAAATGCAGTTACACCAATTGTATATGGTAAGAAAAGTCAGACAGTGGACTCTGCCTACAGATATTTAATTGTCTGTCTAAAGAAGGTTCTAGTAAGATCATCGTTCCATTATCCACATGCATGGGAGATATTAAGACAAGCAACTGAGAAAAACTTTTGGAAATGAGATCTTGCATAAAATAAGGAGGACTGATGAGAGAAAGTGCTGTGACAGATGGCAACTGTTGTGGAGAGCAAAGTTCTAGCACCAGCACCATCCAAGCATGTGGGAAGGAAAAGAGATGAGGTTACCCTAAACTCCTACCTTCATGCTGCTTGAAAATTTTAGAGAAAATCGAAGGAACACAAGCAATTACTCTATCCCAGTTCAGGAACATTCTTCAGCTCCATAATTCTTTCTAATCAGATCTACAGCTTGCCTCTAAATTACTTCAAAGAGCCCGCTCCTACTGTCTTAGTTTCAAGGAGAATAATTCACTAATGAATACTTCTAGCTCTTTTGCTTCCTTCCTTCCTTCCAGTACTTCCTTGCCATCCTACTTGCGTTGCTGTTAAGTTCTAACCCCAAACCTTATCTTGTCTCTCAGCTTTTAGACTACGTTCTTTTGTTATCACTAAGCACAAAAATTTCTTTAGGTGGAGACAAGTTCTGACCACTATTCAGTCCTTCCTCCCAGATCAGCTGCTGTCAGGTGGAAAAGTAATGCATTTTTTTTTCTCCCTGAGACTCCTTCTCAAGCCTGCTCCTCTTGTAAGGAACATGTTCTTGCAAATGTCTGCCATGGCCTTCTCCTAGCCAAACCAAAGCACCCCTTTTCTATCATGCTCATCTATTTATGAGGCACTTTGCACAGCTGATCACTCCTTAAAAAGACGAAAATTGAGAAGACAGCAGGCTGCCATTTTTTCCTGTTTCACCTCCTATTTCTCCAGTGCATCATCAGTAACACTCTTTTGACAGCCTGCTTCAGAGGTTTGTTCCCATCCCCCCCTGTCTTTTCCCATTCACTAAGGTCATGGCCTTTCTTAATTTTAAATTGCTTCTATATCTATACTGAACTTCCCCCAAACAATGCTTTCCCTCTAGACCTTCACTTCTATGGCAAATTCAATGTAGGACACTTACTGTATCCAAACTTAACATTGTGAAAACTATTTTATTTCTATGAACCTCTCCTGTCCTCTACAGAGGTATTTCAATACAGGTATTAAATAAAAAAAAAACAAACCCCAAAACAAACAAAAAAATAAATGGAAAATTACAAACTATACCATGGTCAAATTTTCCAAAAGTTCTAAATTTTTTATTAAAGCAAAAATAATTACATCTCTAAATGATGTTGTTATCAAGTAACAAAAGTATCAGTACGATAATTACTTTTAGCACACATTTACGTTTAGCAATATTTCTGAACTCCAAAGGCTCCAAAACACATCATAGATTAAAACTATCACACAATATACAAAGAGGCATCACTTCGCTCAGTGTTAATACTGCTAAAATAATGGGAAAGGTTCAAAACTCACAAGTGGATGGTTTGAGGTTTTTTTCAGGGGAATGGGAGAGTGGTGGCTAAGGATTGGGGGTTTGTTTGTTTTATATACAGCATTAATACAGAGAAACAATAATTAAAAAAACCCCAGTCTACTATATCCCTGATGTCCAAGAGATTGCACAAAAACACTGCAAACTATCCCACAAGCAAACTTGCTGTAATGTATTACTTACAGAGAACATCTAACATTTTAATAAATTAAGTTAGGTAAATCACTAAAATATGATTATTCAGCAGTCAGCTATATGATCATCATAGGCCAGCTGCTATATATATTGCTATCGCTTTGAGGGTATGAAAACAGTGTGTTACATACCTTTACCTATGGACTTGTATAATTGATTTGGCTTGCGATGTTTGCTTTATTCCATGAATTTCCCAGTTTGCAATTTTAACCTTAACTCCCTTTTATGCCACAGAATATTTAATAAGATTGATTTCTGCACTCCTGTTATTCTGTATATCATTGTATTTCCTTCAGTTAATTTGTTTCTTTAAACACAGGCACTACCTTCATTTCTTAACTCCTGCCAGTTTTTCTTCTATATCCAACTGTTCATACTTTTTCCAGCTTCTTTCATGTACATAATACCAGATGATACCATATCCTTTCTAGGAGAGTTAATGAAATACAAAGTGCCTCTGCGTGCTGCCAATGATATGAAAGTTAGCTGTTGTAAAGGGCAGCTTTTTATTTGTAGCTCATTTGTTGAGCATTAAATAACTCCGTGAATTCAATATCAGTAATTCGCACCAAAGACTTTTATAGAATTGGAAGATGCAACATTACTGTGAAAAAGGAGGAGAAGTTCTTACCTCATCTGCAAGTTTCCTGTTAAAAATCTTGGATTCTTCCAATGGCGACCAAATTTTTATATCATAATCAATACCCGAAGAGGCCAGAACTAGAAGTGAGCAATAGTAATTCCAAATTAAATGTGTTATATCTTTACCACTGTTTCCTGCACTTAACTGGAGTTGAAGAAAAATACTTCACTTGAAGCATTTATTTGCAAATGTCAGTTCCCATGCTGAACATACAACTGTGTAATTACTGTCTCCATACAAGATCGGAGCTATAGATTGTGTATTTATAGCTCTCTATGTATATATGAAGAAAACACATGGAAACTTCAAGAGCCTCCTTTTTTAAATAAACAAAAAGGCACCAGAACATACATAAGAAAGGAAGAACAAACCCAGCCACTACTAATATATTTCTGCTGATGGCCTGATAAGTGTATGCATTAATAAGGAAGCCTTAGGATTTGTAGACCCAGATATGAAGACAGAAGCAAGATAATTTTAAACCTATTTTGACATTTGATAATTCCAGTGTATTTCACAGAATCACAGAATGTTAGAGGTTGGAAGGGACCTCGAAAGATCATCTAGTCCAACCCCCCTGCCAGAGCAGGACCAAATTTCATGTAAGTTTATTTGATATTCAAATATAAAAACAATGGATGCTCTTATAAACACTTGTTAAAATACAGAAACCAAAAAGTTGTAGAACATTCTCTAGATCATTGCACAAAACACCTATGGGAATAAAAATTGCATAGAAAGATCTCAGTAACTGGAAAAACTGTAAAGATTAATTGTACCACAAGAAGGATGACCTCTTCATTACATTTTCAGTGTGTGACAGGAAGACAGTCACACTCCATCAAGGAATCAGTAAAGCTACAGGGCATTTTGAAAGGGGCTTCCAAAAGAAGTGTCCAACCTAGCCAGACACTCCAGATACATACAAGAACACGATTTCAACTAAGTATTTAAAAGTTTAAGGCTTATCCAATGTATGGCAATTCTCTATGTGTCCACAAACTGTCTGAAAAAAAACCCAGCCTCTTCTGGTATTATTATAGCAACTTCATTTGCTTATTTATTTACAGCTGCCTGTTGCTCTACAGCCATGTAAACTATGAAAAAAGAAATAAACATGAATACTTTCTTTGAGTGTGTCAGAAGCTACAGAATGGTTCAGATTTTCCATCTGCATGTCACATGACATGATTCCTTCTACTAATTTGGTCCATCTTTTCTATAAATATTTTCCCCTAAATATAAATTAATAGAATTTCTATGAATTTTATTCCTTCTTCTAATCTCAAAGGCAGTGAGACTGAGACACCCACTTCACTCAATTTTTTTTGAACAGAGCCAAGTAGAGACCAGATTCCAATATTAATTCCCGGTGTTGCTGGCATTTCAGTGACCTCATACTGCCCTCATTAGGGTCACAGAAAACACTAAATGTATTAAGGGGAGCAAGAAATGGAGATGCTTCTTACTACATCTTAACTTTCTATAAATACTATATCAGCAATGTTTCCATTCCAAGATGTTGTTGAGTAAAGAGGATTTTAAGGGCAAGACAAAATTAAAAGCATTATTATCTAATTTATATGGGAAAAAAAATGAAGAGTAGTTCCTTAATCATTACAATGCTCTGTTGAGCAAAGAATTTAAGATTGAGCTTTAAAATGCTTTACTACAGAGAACCTGAACAGGCAGACTGTAAAAAATTATCATCTTACTTGGGTCAAACGGATGAGGCTGAAGACAGTTCACCACATGATTATCAGCTTCCAGCAGCATGAGATGTTCAGCAGTATGTCTATCCCATATAAAAATATGGCCACAGTCTGAACCACTCATGACAAAGTTAGATCCCCAAAAATTTGCTTCCTTTATCTGCAGTAAAAACAAAAATAACAATTACTTTATAAGACTAGCTTGGAAAGCACATCAAAGGGCATAACTCCCATTTCTGCAATAATGCTGTCCCTGAAGCAAGAGTTCTGCAAATGCAGAAAAAACCATTTAAGAAAAATTTAAAGGAAACATTTAAAGAAAAATGATCAAAAAAAGAAAATTCAGAGGGTTGAAGATCTCCAGAGCAAAGTGGCTGCTAAAAGAAAAAGGGAGAGGAGTTGGGGCAGACCAAGCAGTTTGGAAATAAACAACAGCAGATTTGTCACTTTCCAAAGTGACAAGAATGATACTGGAGACAAGGGTGCTGTCCCTCAGGTGGGGTCCGGTACCCGATGTGCAAAGCCAGTCGTACACACAGAGCAGAGGTATTTATTTATTTTCAAGTCTGCACAGAAAAGGGCGTTAAGTGGAATTTCCACAAAGCTAGCACACCTCATTGTTTCACAATACAGTTTATATATGGTTTACAGTTACATAACTTATTTAATTATTAGGCATGTTCAGAAGGTATTTGTTATGCTCTCTGCTCTAAAACAAAAAATATAAACTAAATTAGTTAGCTTATACATTTTCAAAGATATTTTCCTCAGAAACATGTTTTTACTGATTGAGTTGTTCTTGCCTAAATCACATATATTAGTCTAAACAAGACTATCTGGTGGAACTTTCTGGGTTAGGATGTTTACTTTTTATCAGTTTGGCAGTTTTATTCTTGTTCAAAGGAATAGGCATTAGTAAGGTATGCATTGCTGATAGACCACCTGGTCCAGTGGACAAAACAGACCCTGAATCTTGTGAAAAACAGTACTGCAGTCTGGAATTTGAGAAAGGAACTCTTGCTAATAGACCACTTGGTCCATCAGACAAAACAATAGGCCCTGGATCTTGTGAAAAACAAGGCCTGAAAAAAAACCCCCACAGAACCAAGGTTTGCAAGTCTTATGAGAATTTTGTGAAAAACAAGGCCAAAAACCAAAGCCAAAAAACAGGGCCAGACTTGGGAAAGAAAAGGAAGGAAAACCACCAGCACTAATAGAGAGAAAAAGAAGGAAAAAAAATATTTTCTTTATCTGCTGTACATCAGGGGTATGTGAAACATTTTTGGGAAGAGTTCAGTAAGTTGAAGAGAGTGACAGGCTAATCCCTTGTGGGGATTTTCCATTTACAGAGGAAGAAGAGATGAGACAGAATCTTATGAAAACTGGGGGGTGGGAATTAACTGGGTCTGACAGATAAAAAGGGGTCATGAAATCAAACTTAGGTATTTTTTCTACCCCCTCTAATCAAACAAATAAGAACTATGACTTCTTAGTCCAAGGCCAAAATTAAAGTTATAAGCCACTGCACAAGGAAGGCATCTGGGTAGAAGTGACCCTTCAGCTTCAGCTACTACAGTAATAGTAGACAAAAATAGAAGCATCTCTCCTGCAAGTGGAACGGATAGTATCACAGTTTTCTTGATACAGCGATGATGCACTCTATTCTATGTGGTTGATGCTGTCATTATGTTTTTGAGGTATCTGAGCACCTTTGCAAAAATACTTGAAGTCATATGGCTGACGATTGTCACGTATCCATAGTGTTCCCACGCTATTAGCGGAGTACATGTAATACATTGCCAACATGGACTATTATTTTTTTTTTTAGGGGTTTTGGTTTTTTTTTTTTTGAATACACATGTTGCTGTGTATAAATTTAGAGAGCAAGGTAAAACCTAGCTTGCAAAGGCAATGAGTTGTTTGAGAGCCTACTGTTCACACTGAAGGTCATTCTAGCATCTCGGGCCAGTTTATAGAATTTTACTTTGCACTGACTGGACCAGCATCACACAAGTTACATTAATTTTTAAATTACTTACTCATAGGAAATTATAACTGGATGATCTTTGGTTTTGGCCTACAGCTAACTCCTCTATAATCTTCTTGATAACACAGTAGTTATAACTGGGTTGTAAATAAAGTATAAGTGGGTTATAATTGGCTGTAAATAAAACACGCAAGGAAGACTTCTCTGGTTGGAGAACTGTACATTCGAAGCAGGAAATTCTATACCTCTGAGAATAACATAGTAATTTTTACTAGAAAGATGCACGAATCACTTAAGATTTTTTTCATAAACCTAAAAGGTGGAAGGAAATTCACAAACACAGCAATATGAGCACATCTGTTTGTGAGTGAACACAACTGGGCTGGACACACCATTGACTGCAGGGTATTGCAGAAAGACCCAAGGTCTTTGAGAAGGCTTCCAGAAAACCAGCTGCTTCTTGCTGCAAATGTATAGTTTTTTGCAGTGCCTCGCAGTCAGTGAAGTGCTGCAGACAGCGTGCGCTTGGGCTTTTCCCTTCTGGCAGCTTCTCCAGGAAGCTCTGACAGCACCAAGGGGCTTCCTTTGGAGCAGGGGGACCGTCTCCGCAGAGACAGCAAAGGCTTCTGTCATGTTCTGCCTTTCTTCCCCTGCCATCAACGCACAGGCTTCTCTCAATACAATGAAGAAAGGAATAACATCATCCTCTGGGTAAAAGGAAAAGGGGGGGTTTTAGGGAACCGTATGCTCATGTTTTAGGCTAGTATACTATATAATGGTTCATTACATCATTTATTTCCCTTTCCTTGTGTGTAGTGTTATAATTCAGTAGGTATTTAAACCTACTGTCTTAAGCGCTATTGAATGCTATTCATGGTCTCATCAGCATTATTGTTCTGGATACTCATTTGCTAACAATGCTGTGAACAGCCCCCCAATGAAGTGGCCATCTCTCCGCTCAAAATGGCTAGACCATCTTGTCCCTGATTTTGAGAATTAAAGAAAATAGCAGATACAGTCAATGACAAGATAGCTAACTTGACACGTACTTGACTTGAAAAAGTCTTTGGGAGACAAAGCGAGTCAATAAATCTGAATATTTTTCTCCTCTTTGTTCCCGTACCTCTCCCCAAAACAGGGTATTTTCATAGAATTATAAGAATAATGTATTATTCGCTAATCATTTATACGTATTAGTTATACTTTTGTATGGCTTAATATATTTATAATTTATAGGAAATTATACTATTTTTATCTCTTAAATGTTATTTATTTATAAATAATTGCTTGTGTAGTAAATGCTGTATTGTTTATTAATTCTGTATTTACTAATTCAGTGGGAAAATCCAGACTCCTTGAGTGCAGTCTCATGAGTTTTGGAACTGAAGGCAACTGAAGCAGTTCGTCCTATGGAACAGAGCAGTGTTACAATGAAAATGATTGTGTACTTGACAGAGAAATTGCAGGCCAGGAAAAAGTGGCAGTAGTATCATATATCCATTTCCTTGAAATATAATGTTGTATTATTCTACACCTGTTAGGTTCAACATACTCTTATGACTACAGCCTGAAAGAACGTGGCTAATTTGATTTCTGAGCCAAGAAAAGCCACCCTAGAGTATTTTTTTTTCAAGAAGGAACTATTAGGTTTGTTAAATGTAGAATAATCTTTCCATGCCAAGGCCTCTCTTGCCCTCCCTTCCTAAATTGATGTAATCCAAACGAAGCCAAACAATTAGTCTGAGCAAACAAGAATTGGTCACTTCCTTCACTAATGATTACAATCTTCAGAAATCACTTCTGATTTTACTTGGAGTAGGACATCAAAATAACCATTGTTAAACTATTTAAAGTAGGAACAGGCTAGGCAGCAGTATCTTTTCCCGTTGCTGTCCTACATCACCTACAGGGTGAGAGGTTAGATGGGGTGGCAGAGGAAGCAGGGACATTGCTTCAACGACAGCGTAAACTGAAGTCACAAGATGTGAGCTGAAAGCTCCACAGTAGTCTAATGTTTGTGATGGAGAAGAGAGTCTGGAAGTTAAAAATTTAATTCTACACACAAGATTATACTTTAAACAGTTACCAGTACCTCTCATGACCTCTTTAAATTGACACACACTAGGCAAAAGAGATACTTATGTAAACAGAAGTTTCCTATGCAGCAGCTTTCAGAGTTCACACAGATGATGTCCAGTGTTTGAAGTTCAGCACAGAATCATTTCCTAATTTTGGTATTTAAGAATATCTCTGGCATAAGGGACAGAATTTTGAGTTTGAGACCATTTACATGGAATTCTACTATGGAATTATTTGCCAAGTAACACATCATAATAAAGCTCTATAAGAGGATAGCACTTGCATCCTTATCTTGCTTTTTTGCATATTTTTATCAGAAAATGCACTGGAGAAAAGGACAGAGACATTGTCTTGCTCTGTTCTCTGCCCCAGCTATCTTGATTTAAAAATCACCATAATAAAGAATCGTATTAGTGAGCTGAACCCTTACCGCTGTTAAAAATATGTACTTTATTTCGAACTTGAGTACATCCAGTTTTAAATTTCAGGCTCACTAGATCTTTTGTCTATAGAGTATGTATTAATGATTGACATCAGTGCAGTAAAGTCATCTTGATGTCTAAAAATAAGCCAGAGAAACTGCATTCCTGGATTCTGTAGTGAAAGGTGTATTTCAAATACATTCATCATTTGTCTTATAGCTCCTGTTAATGTATAATATATATTAATATCTATTAAGAGGGTAATATATATATATTATCCTGTTAGAAGTACATCTAAATTATCTCCAATAATAAATAACTGTGTATTTTATTTCTCAGGACTTCTTCCTGCTTCCTTTGTATTCTCTTATGTAACTGCTGATTTTACATTTCCAATATTCATAAAACCTAATTTTACCACCACATAAGTTAACAGAATTGAAATTCCCATTTAAAAATTTTGTTTCAAACTCATGTACACACTCACTTCTACTGTATGCATACACAACTAACTTATTAGTTACACACAGATACTCTATTGAAGAAAAGTTTCTTTAAAATCAACATTTTAGAAGGGGGACTTGGATTGAGTGGAACAGAGGAAGAATGGTGTATATCTGGAGGGAAAAATAGCGAGGAAGAGACAGAAGAGACAAAGAGCTGAAGGCACATGGAAAATGACAAATTTTGAAGAAAAAGAAAGGGAGTTTGGGCTCACAAAGGCCTTTTTTTCCTCTAAGACCTAAAGAGAAACAGGAAATCCCACCCCCTATCATTCCACTACCATCACACTCCCTGCTGCCATACTTTCAGGTCTGTTTCATGAAAAACTGGTAACACTTGGGACTCCAATGACATCATTTGAGTGGTGGAGATAAAAACATTCCAACCCTGCCAATAGTGCAAGCAAACATCAATATAATGCTGCTTATCTTTTGCTTTTGGACAATGTAAGAATTACACTTAAAATGTGCTTATTAAAAAAAAATAATTAAGATTGCCAAATTAAGTTCTCAAAAGTAAGGAAGTACCAAAATTATTCAGTTTGTCTGTATAGCCTTAATTCACTGTCCTTTTATATATATATTTTTTTATATATATATATGTGTGTGTGTGTGTGTTTGGATGTATATATACATACACACGTTAAAATAGTTCATGTTATTGACAAGACAACTTTATCCCTGGGCCCCTCAGCTATGTAGGAAACAAGACCTCTCTATGCTGTCTCCTTCACAAAGTTAAAAGGGAAATACCATCAGTCCTTGCCATGCAGGAAAGTATCAATCCAAAAAAATATTAAAGCGAAGTTTGCCACCATAGAAACCAACAGGGATTACATTAGACAATTACATCATCTTTCATTGTGTGTATTCCTTGTCATATGTGCTTATGTGACACAAATGCAAAAACATCAACCCACATCTTGAAGAAACCAAACAACAAAATCCATGACATAACTGTGTAATAACACATATACAGATGGAGACTGAATTAGGACCACTTAGCAAGCTTAGTTTTAATATCTCTTAACAAAAAAGTGCTTGATTTATGACTTTTAAACTAACAGGGTTTTGGGCAATTAAAATTAATTTCTGAAAAGAAGCACAAAACTTGTCATTAATCAAAGCTCATTCTAAGCCTTGTTGCTTATGTAGACTGAAATATGCATTTTCTGAAGCATTTTCCCCAGTATAATCAAAGCCGTTTACACAAATTCTAGAAAACTGCTTTTAGAGGAGAGGGACCATTCCCAAGGTCATCTGCAATAATACACCTGCTACTTCTACAAAATGCCACCTAGAACTCAGAACTTCACATCTTTCAAAATACTGTAAAAAGTGAAAAAAGAAATAGCAAGGAAAACAGCATTTGTTTCTCATGCACCACTGCTTTACAAACACAGTAACTGCATTTTTCTTAAAATACAGTATTTTATATGAAAAAGAGTATCTAGTAGTTAAGATTACAGTTTAATAACTAGCACTAGTTAGTTTGTGGTGTGGTTTTTTTTTTTTTTTTTTTTTAAGTCAGAGACATCAAGGCTCTTCAAAACTATGATTTAATCCTCGCTTTCCTTTCCAAGCTGTTCAAAATTATTATTTGATCTTTAACTTCAAAGAGCTTGGAAGGGAAAGCGAGGATTAAATCACAATTTTGAAGGTAGGCACATTTTATACACTTAAGCTGACAGACAAAATGAGAAAGAAGTTAAGAAAAATACCCAAGATTTCAAAGGAAGTTAAAGGGAGAGAGTCTTGAGCTCAAGAAAACTTAAATGCCTAGCATGGTGACATGAGTCACACTAATTTTAATTTTAATTTAGGGCAAATTATGAGGCTTCCAACTGAATACACAACAAAAAGTGCTTACAATACATTACAATACCGTTTTTGGCAAGCATATCAATGTGGCAGCTAGACTGATTCAGTCCATAATATCTCTACAGTTCCCAAGACAGACAAAAAGTTTGTACCATTGTTCGGGAGTTCCGATGACCTTTATAAACCATCTTTATTAAAGGACGTCTAATATTCAGTGTTTCCAATTCTTCCATTTCTTTTCTTTCTTTCCTCCTTCTGAAGAGCTCCTGAATGCGAGCAACAGCAGATCGTCTATAAATTGCAGACAAAGAGAACACTACTGAAAGTCCAGCTCTAAACACCAAAATGGGCTATCAAAAAGGACTATAAAATAATAATCAGGCACTCAAACACACTCTCCTTAAGTTCAGAACAGACATCAACATTATCCCAGATGTAAAATTACAGACTTTAATTTTTTCCATCCTGGCTTAGAACAAGAATAGCATGCAAGACAGTGGAATGTCAAGTAATGCAACATTTTATTCCCTCTCTGAAGAATAAACTTCAGCTGCTGGCAAAATTCACATGCTGTTTTATTCTTTACTGCTAGAGATATCCTCCACCCATATCGAGCTACCAAAATTCTGAAGTGAAAAAGCTATGCCATAACAGAAGCTTTTAAAATTTAAAGTTATTAAGGATCTAGTGCGCCTTCCAGTGTGATTTGTTTTTTCCCCAAGATTTCATTAAATGTATTCTCTTCGCTACTTCTTTATGACAAGACTCAAGATTTAGACAGCTTAAAAAAAGTTCCTGCTAAGGCAAAAGATGATTTGAGACCAATTATTGGAGCAACTATCCCATACATTAGCAGTGAGGGATACAGCAGATGATTTCCTAGAATAACAGAAGAATTAGCTAAATTATATCTTTTGGTTTGTGAATGCTGAATTCCAGGAATCTACTTAATCTGTGAAAAGACCCTGATGACAAATTTTGCCTGTTTAGCTCTAGGTTTGCAGACGTCCGTGATTCCAGCTATAGCCAAACTGTCGCATCCCAGCACCTGAATCTAACTCTTTTATTCCATGTCAGGGCTGCTGTTAGCTGTGAGGTCCTGAACACAGTCCAAGGGGAATATCACTCTCAAGAAAGAGCAGGTACAGATTTTAGCAGAATGCAAGGAGTCAAGTTATTATAGGCACTTATATGATCCTGAAAGGTAAACTGAGCCAGAACCAAGTATATATGCAACCTTAGTACACTGCTACCAGAAAGCTTGTAACCTGAATTTGTCCACAAGTAACATGGTACGGCGTTTTAGTCGTCCTGGAGACTCTTGCAACAAGTCCTGTTTTGCAGAAAAAGCCCACCAGACCTATCTCTCAACTAATTCACTCAGCCAGTAGTCTGCTTAGATTTTTGTTTCCTTTTTGTCATATGAGAAAGTTGGACCCCCAAAAATTGAGGAAAAGTGTTATCCTACAGCTAGGCAAAGAAGGAACATGAATGCAAGTAATGAGTCATTAATACAGATTTAAAAAGCAAAAACGAAACACAAACTCATACTAAGACAAATCATCTAATACACTAAGCTTGTAAAAGATATTTTAATACTTATTTTTTATAGAAACTAGAAGAGATTTTTAAGCATTAGCCAACAGACCCACTTAACAGTGGACTATTTATTAAAATACAGTTCTTAGAGGTTTGTCTAGCAAACAATCTCAGAAAAAAAAAATAGACTACTACTACTTCCTTTGTGAGAGTTTTCTATCCTCCACAAAATCTCAGATGTAGGCAATTTTCTAGTCTCTCCTTGTACTACACTAAATAAATACACCATATTTGTTAGTTAGTCCTTATAAAATATGGAGTCTCAACTTTAATCTTCAACTGATCCAAGAAGAGGGTTCTTCACAAAGTCTTCATACAATGGAGATTAAAAAAAACAACCTATGTTCTTTATCTACTGCGCTTTAAAGATCACAGAATTATTCTCCTCACCAGTTTACTTCTATGTGAAGGAAAAAGAAGGGTGGCACATATATGATAGGCTATATAAAACACTTACAGAAACTTTAAACAATTATTTATATATATTTAGTTTTGTACTTGTTTTTAAAAAAGATGGGTTCTGTGTGAGAAAGTAAAAGCAAGAATCATGTAATAACAACTGCTGTGCTACCAATCCTATCAGTGATCACACAGCTTTGGAAACAGCACGCACAGCTCTTCAGCACAACAAGATCCTCTTGGTTTCAGAAGCACGCCTGCTAGCCTTACAGCTATCACTTACTACGACATTAATTAATTAATAAAAGATGTGCAGTGAAAAAGCTGAGAAGTTAAGCATCATTAGTATTGACAAAGCAGTAGACTTGTCTAGCTCTTTCAGAAGGGTTACTTGCTGGATAGCAGTAACAAGTCTTGGGATTAGATGTTGGTATCAAAAGAAAGAACTGGTAACCCAAAGTAGTTTCTAGCAAAATTTTTCATTTTAGCATCTCTAGAAAAAGTAATCTCATCCTCTATATTCCCCTAGGCTGGAATGCAGACACTACAAAAAACCCTCAAGACTATTCAGCAGAGTCATGCATTTTTAAATAAAAGCAGAAGTACTGAAGCAACTTTTGGTAAAAAAAAAAAACTTTCAACTAAATCCATTTCTTAATTTAAAATCCTGATTTGGGATCTTATTTCAAAAGGCATGAATGGATTGATACTTAGTTATCTTGTAAAGCTGGTGATTACCTTCAGCAGGGAGAATGGAGCCAAGCACACATGGCTGTAACTATCGGGTACTCGAGTAACATACGCTAAAAGCAGGAACCTGGTAGAGGCAAGTCTTCTCCAGAAAAGGTAAATACGAACCCAATTTAATGATATTTCAGAACAAAGAACATTACAGGGAAAAGGATTCTCTGAGAAGTATTACTTTTCCATAACTACAGACTTCCCATGCATTTAAGTCACACAAAGCAAAAAAAAACAATTAAAAAATCCAACATATTTGTATTCTTCACTTTTTAATTTTCATTTGTATGTGATAAGCAATTCCTGTCTGTGCCAACATAAACTTAGATAGCAGCCTAATCACTTGGAGCATCAGCAGATACAGAATTGCAATTCATACTGTTCTGAAGTTCAGCCTAAGCTAAGCCTGTGAGCCGCTGCTTCCCTATCAAGCTGTGTACTCTTCCAAGCACAAAGTAATGAACTATTGCACACTGTGTTGGCACTCCTCAAGCAACTCCGCCAATTGATATGGTTGTATTACGTATTCACATTCAAATAAATAATGAAGATGCCTGAGGAATATTTGATATAGACTAATTTTATTAATTTTATGGTACAGAAAACATTAGGTCTTGTAAAGCCAATGAAACTGTTTTAGTTATGCCCTTATACTGTAGGTAGTGCTCTGACTTCAGGATAATTCAGTACTGCTGTCTGGTCTGCAGGTATAAAACCTTTTTAATTGTGTTTTGCCAAATTTTGTGGTACCTTAGAGCAGTATCTTACAATAAAGTTGATATGTGCAGTCTTAGTAAGATTGAGCCCAAGATGATGTGTGGTGCTTTCACTACTTCAATGAAGTGTGCCTTGTGGAAAGACAATTTTATTTCCAAGACTAAGAATATGGACATGAACTAACACACAACTTTTCCCCTTATGATCAGCCAGGTTTGAAGTCTTCAGAGTCGACTGTTGTAAACATTAATTATCAAAAGCCTGTTTAAATTAAGACCTAGATGAGTGGAACAGGGATTTAGATGTGAAGGCATTATATTCTTTCCATTAAACATAGGTTAAAAAAACCCCAACCAAACATGAAACCGCTGTGATGCAGACTGATCCACAGCTATGTATTACAGAAAAATGGAAAAGATAAACATGTAAATTAAGCCTAAAAAAAAGACAGTAATTGTCACATAGGGCATTTTCTGTATGTTTAGAAATTCTGAAGTGTAATAAGGATTTTTTTTTAACAAAAATCTATGCAATTTGCACAATTAAATAACTAGCTTGTTTCTTAAAGCACAATATGTCACATATTGCTCTTTAAAATTTTTTTTTTTTTTGAGAGCGCCACAGACCTCAGTTCCCAATCTACATTACTCAACAATTTCTGGCTAACTAGCCCTGCATGTTTTAAAACAACTATGTTCATCTACTAGTTAGAAGAGAGACAGTCAAAATTAATGATAGGTTTTCCAAAAGAGGGAGAACCGAACAATTATCCATCAACTGAATCCGTAAACAATCTACAGGAATTCTGCTACAAACTTTGTTCCACTAGAGGTCCAGATGTAGTGGCTGCCAGAAAAGTGATCTGGTACCCTAGATAACCCTACTTCTTCCAAACACCATTTTCGCAGACCAACCGTCTCCTGAGCTAGGCTGCAGCTGTTGGCTGTAAAGCTCACATATACTTGATTCCTTTTTCCATCCTTTTTGTCTCAGCTCTGTATTGAATATTGAGCTCTGTATTGATTCCTCCAATGTGAAGGATTTTTGTCACTTCTTAAGTTTCCAAATTTACTTACACACAAACATTTTCTCGTACTTAGCAAGAAGAGACGCTCTGGTTCCTTCTCTTCTGCTCTTTCAGGTTAAGATATTTTTTTCCCCTCTTGTTGCCATCTTCTCCTTTTGAACTATTTTCCCTATCCAAAACAACTGCAGGAACCTACGGCTTATAACCATTAATTTAGAACCTATTTCTCTGATGCCTTACGATCATTTCTTCATTGACCATGTAGAGGAATCCACCTGCTAGCTACCATGCTCCTGCCCAAGAATTCCAACTGTGTATCTTAACAAGCTGGCTATCATCACTGAAGTCAAACCCAGCTCGGGAAGCTAACTAATTAATAAGTCATTGTTCTGGTCTTTACCTCAACTCACAAGTTCTCTCACTATTTTGCTGTTCTGTTTTTCTCCTCATCCCACTGGGGGAGAGTGAGTGAGCAGCTATGTGGGGCTGAGCTGTCTGCTGGGGTTAACCCACAATCACCACATTAAAATAGATCCCTTTTTTAAATATCAAGATTTGATTATACTTCTGATTTTAATTGTCAAATAACCACGCTCCTTTAGAAGCCTCTGAACCTATGGAAGAGATTTACTACTGCTGCCAATTTTCAAGCATTAAGATAATTCAAAACCAAGGGCAAAACCATCGTGCTAACAGCACACTAAGTCTTCTCTACAGCCCAAGTTATTTCACTGCTGATCATATAAAAAGAAATGTTTACCATAATGCACTCCTAAGTCATTCCCTGGCCTTCCAACACAATCAGTGT